GTTGTTGTTGTTGTTGTTGTTGTTGTTGTTGTTGTTGTTGTTGTTGTTGTTGTTGTTGTTGTTGTTGTTGTTTGTTTTTGTTGTGTGTTGTTGTTGTTGTTTGTTGCTTGTTGTTTGTTTGTTGTTTGTTGTTTGTTTGTTTGTTGTTTGTTGTTTGTTGTTTGTTGTTTGTTGTTTGTTGTTTGTTGTTTGTTGTTTGTTGTTGCTGCTGCTGCTGCTGCTGCTGCTGTTGTGGTTGTGGTTGTGGTTGTGGTTGTCGTTGTCGTTGTCGTTGTCGTTGTCGTTGTCGTTGTCGTTGTTGTTGTTGTTGTTGTTGTTGTTGTTGTTGTTGTTGTTGTTGTTGTTGTTGTTGTTGTTGTTGATGTTGTTGATGTTGTTGATGTTGATGTTGTTGGTTGTGGTGGCGGTGGTGCTGGTGGGTGGGGGTGGGGGTGGGGGTGGGGGTGGGGGTGGGGGTGGGGTGGGGGTGGGGGTGGGGGGGTGGGGGGTGGGGGTGGGGGTGGGGGTGGGGTAGAGGGGTGGGGGTGGGGTAAGGGTGGGGGTGGGGGTGGGGGTGGGCGGGCGGGGGCGGGGGGTGGGGTGGGTGGGTGTGGGTGGGCGGGCGGGTGGGCGAGCGGGTGGGTGGGTGGGTGGGTGGGGGGTGGGTGGGTGGGGGTGCTGGGTGGTGGCGGTGGCTGGTGGTGGTGGTGGTGGTGGGTGGCGGCGGTGGCGGTGGTGGGCGGTGGTTGCTCGTTGTCGCTCGTTGTTGCTTGTTGTCGGTTCTCGTTGAGTGCTGTTGGGTTGCTTTTGACGATGATGATGGACTTGTTGTAGTTTTATGTTTCCCCCCAAGAGTTACAGTTTTGCCTGCTGTCACTGTTTTTGATATTAATTGTCGCGGCGCTTGCTCTGCCTTGGCATCTGGACTGTTGCCGCTGCTGCCGCTCTTGCTCATTGTGGCTGTGCTTACGGTGGCTGTTAGTTCCGATTCAACTTTGTTTTGTCGGCCATTTCCGCGCTGTTGGCCATTTCCGCGGTTCTATTTTGAGTCTGGCGATTTTTTCTCCTCAGAAACGGGTTGCAACCAGCTGGCTAAAGGTCTCGTGGCTCATGGGCTTGCCAAAACATCCCCAAGCTGCGAGGGGGACGATGCTTCGTCCACTGTCTCGGGGTTGGGCTGGGTCTCTTTTTTCAGGAGGAGTCAAGCCCAGTGGCGATTGCCATCTCGGTGATGCTTATGGGTAGCATCGGCTTTCAAATGCTCATGCGCCTTGCCGAGAATGGAACAAACCAACAAAAACGGCAACTTGGCCGCCGAAATGTGTTGGTTGCAAATCAGTTTATATACTGGGGACTATAAACGTATTGACGCCTAGCAAAAGTTAGAAGGGTCATAGCCCCCCCCCCCTTTACAAAAAAATCCTTCGGCCGCTTGCGGAGCTTTCTTGAAAACCGACCCCAAAGAGTTTTGTTTGTCCCGCACGAGAAGTATGGCGAACACTGAGGAGAGGTCAGAGGTCCACAGAGAAAGGAATGAAGGGAACAATGGGGCCAGACTGTCTTAAGAGTTCAGGGTGGGATCTTCCTTTCGAAAAAAGGCAGAATGGGCCCTGAAGAACTAAAGCTGAGCTGAAGGGGGCTCTTTCAAGTCTCAGTGGATTGATTTTTGTGTTTTCGAATAGTTTGATTGGGAGCATACACGAGACACGACAGCTGAATGGATGTCCTGGAATTTCCGGGACCGGAAAAAGCAATATAGCAACATTTAATTCGGATATATATATATATATATGTATATATATATATATTTGTTGCCTTCGGAAGCACCAAAACGAATGTGCCAAATCCAGAGACTACCACCAGGTCAAAACACAAATGGGATCCCTGGTTCTGACTTCCCCTCCTTAGGCTACCCAGTAGTCTATGGTCCATCTGGCAGAACTCTGTGAGGAAGTTGGGAGTTTGACCACGGCTCAAGATGGGCGTGTCTTTTTTTAGGGACTCCCCAAAAGTTGCGCGTTTTCCTAAATTGGTTTCCTTCCAAAGCCACCAAAAAAGCGGTACTCTCCAAAAGAAGCACACCGTTGCTTTTGAAGCTGTTTCCTGGATTCAGAACTTGGGTGGCATGGGCATCCGTGAAGAAACCCCATCAACTTGTGCCCCCACGAGGCAAGCTTGTAGACATACTCGGCCATGAGCCAGAACCACGCAGATGCACGGTTTGGCAACAAGGTTTGCACTGCGCATTTCAGTTTGCCTGGGCTCAAATCTTTCGCTTGCATGCCCGACGGATCCGCGAAGAACAGGATTCGTTTTCTGGTCAAAGTCCAGCTCAAGACATCGTGCCTTACAACAATTGGAGCTACCTGACCACAAATCAACTCTTCAAAATCCACCCCAAACTCACTTTACATCAGACGTCCGAGCTGCACATATTCCCACCGGTGTTCAGTCAGCTCTGGGCAAACAAATCTCATCAGTTTGCTCATCGAAGTCCGCAAGGAAGGATCCTGGAAGGGACCAAGCTAGACTTTCAGAGCTTAGGTTCCCACTCAGGCGTTTACAGGGTGTGGCTCAAGGGGCCCCTTTCAAGTCTCGGCCAAGCGCCCAAACTCAACAAACCATGTCCTGGACAAATGCTGGGTGTGAACTCTTGTCGATATACAAGTCTCTGAAGCGGTCTAAACGGCCACGATGACCGAAAAATTTGCTGAGGCTGTTCAAGCAGTTCATGAACTCCTTCCAGCTGTTGTTGACAAAGCCGTCCTCCATTCGCAACATTACCTTGTTTCGCAGGAAAAGGCACAAGTAGTTGACTCCCGGCACCAAACAAGTTGCTTGGGCTCCACCCAAGGAACATACGATTGTCTTTTTTCCAAGGTACTTGTTTCACAGTGTCTTGAAAGGGAAATTACACAGTTGCTCCCTACAACATGTTGGATGGACACATGTCGAACCAAGGCTGTTTTCTTTCTCGTTTGACACCTTTTTTACCAGAGAAACAACGTTGCATTTCCCGAAACGCGTAGACATCCAGTGTTGGCTTGCGCGTGGCCGGGGAGCGTGATGGAGGGCGTGGTCTGAGTCTGCCAGAGGAAGATGGCGCGCAAACATGTATGTGATTTCCGGCTCACCACCGTCCGGGTCGGATGCATCTCCTGGAAGGTTGGGGGCCGCCCACAAGCCTCGCTCCACCCCAATATCACAGAGGATGGAGAAAACAGACGAGCACGTAACCGGTAAGGAGCCACTCTCTAACCTCAAGGCTGTTGTGATGTAGTGGGCTTTGTGCATCGTAGATGTTGCACGCACACTACACCCATCACCTGCAGCGGCATCAGCCGCGTGTGAACATGACTGGCAATCTCGTACAAGTGGCATTGCTGCTGCATGCAGCTTCTTGACAGAATGTCCAACTCCATGACGCATTAGTCTCGCGAAAACTGTGGTGAGCTGTCCACCCGAAGGTGGGTGATAAACCCGCCAGAAGCTGGCAGCCGCACGTCCCGACAGTACACCATGCTGGCCAGATCGACTGAAATACGGCTTCGCAAAACAGTATTCTTAGATGCTGCATCAAATGCCTGAGATTCCAGGTAGCTCACAAGCATGGGATGGAGTGAAAGCCTCCAGGATGCAGCAACTCCTCTCAATGTCACGCGCCTCGTCAGCAAGAAGTACAGTGTGCAGAATGTACTGCGGGGCATATTGCCAGCCACCCTTTTTGCGAGATTGGCGCCCCGCTGTCACTTGAAGGGCGCTCTGTACTTTGGACAATGTGTCCAACGCTGCCTTGCTCTCGCCCTGGTGGATTGCAGCGGCGCACTGCTGCAGCAACACCTCAAGCTCGCTCTGAGCTTCCTGTGAGGCAGCTGGAGCTGTCGCAGCTAGCCCAGGCAAGTTCCACGGCGTTGGGCCAGTCGAAGTCAAATACCTGTAGCACTCGCCGTGCGCCCGCCAGAGCGGAAAAGCAAGAACGCAGTTGCCGCTCATTTTCGCGGCAAGATCAGCCAAACCTAGCTGGCTGCCATTTCCGGACTCAGGAACAAGGGCAAAGTGCTGCCGGATATAGGACACGTCAGCGAGGGGCATGTTTGAAAAATGCCGGCGTCCCTTCAGCGGCTGCTGTGGGGTCAATCGCTCTGCAAAGCTGCCATGATAAAGGACAATCGGAGGAACGTGCCGGTGGTCAGCAGCTGTCAAAGCCTCATACACGCCCCGCGCAGATATGTGAAAGAAAAAAAGCACCTCCTTTGGGAGGACAAAGTCAGATCTTTGTCTCCCTAGCACTTGGCCAACGGCGCCATGCGCGGTGGAGGGGTGAGGGGTGTGTCGCTAAAGTTGCACTGCTTGCGCAATGCGTGGCCTGGTTGTTGCTTGATGCGTCCTAGTTGTTGCCTGGCGGACTGTGCCTGTATTGTCGCTACTTGGTTGTTGCGGGGTCATCCGGTCACTATTTGGCCGCGGCAAACGTTCAGCTTTCACCCCTTTGAAGTGCAAAGAACTGAAACTCATCACCACAAGCCGGTTGATGAAAACACGTATGCAAACATGTCAACACTGAATCTCCTGCGCGCACAACCTAAGCACAAGCAGGTGTCTCTCCAACATTGAAGCAAAGACTCAAGAGGCAAGCGCCCGAGGGCCAGTTGCAATGGGAGTCAAAGAGCTACAACCCGTGAAAGAACGCAACATCGTCCGCCGACCACCAGTTTCACGAAAAGATATGACAGCTGTAGTAACTAACCCACAAAAGTATCCACTCTTCAACCGCTACACCAAATAGCAATCGCCAGTTTCGATCAGTAATCCCTCATAGGACAGCCCAGCGCAAAGCCCCTTAAGATAGCTCACGGGATTCCATAACCCATACTGTGGATGGATAAACTCCTGCACCAGATTGAAAACATGGGAAACCATTGGCCGTTGGTATTTGCAGGGGAAACTTCATTCCCGGGTTTCGCAGGTGGTGCGAAATGGGATTTCGCAACCATCCGCTGGCCAATGTCCCGTGGTCGTTCCGGTTTCGTCTTGGAACCTCTCACGGAAAAAGACTTCCGCTGAATCCTTGGCTGTGTCACACCGTCGGAGGTCAGGGCACATGCGAAGCTTGGTGGGGTTCCCAGGCGTCCAGTTCCTAGGGTTAACACACGTTCTGGATTTGGCTTGGCGTCGGGGGGAACCCATTTAACCCACAAGTTAGGGATCTGAAAAATGGACACCCAGGAAGTTGGGAGGCTGGGTGTTCGGGCCTTCTCAAGTCCGGCATTCCCACTTTACAACAGAATGATGCGTGTCAAGTCTTTGGCTCGGTACACCTTCTTGGGCTTGGCGCAGGAAACCAAACGGAATCCACTGGTTTGCATCCATGTGTGTTTCAGCATATGTCTTAGTCGACCTTTTTGGTTTTTAAGAGAATCGATTTCACTACTTGCAATGTTTTTTTTGGCAAGGGGGACTTAAACTTTCCAGTTCGAGCGCGAAAAACACGGGGCTTCTGGGGCCGTTGGGCGGCTTTTTGAGGGCTCGGCGTTTTTTGTTTTTTGCGGAGGTTCTACCTGGTGAATTGGCCGGACCGGGACATTCAGAGATACTCCTGGCAGGCGGTTTTCAGTCGATTCGATTGGGATGGCTAGGTTCCAGCTGGGTGCCCTTTCTCAGATTCTCACCAACTTTTTTGGTTGGGAGGGTTCCCGTACTAAAATCGACTACATAAGAACGGGTACCCTAATCCTAACCTCTCTACTAGGAAACTAAGAGGAAACCACCTGGCAAAATCGGTCCAGAAATGTTGAGAAACGTGGGTGAGAGGGATTTGCCGCCCCCCCCCCCCCTCAAAAAGAAAGGAAGTGATTCTCTTTTTGGTTTCTCCTGCCTGGGTTTCAGGGTGAAAGGGCTAAGGCGAAGACGCAAACACACATCCAACTCCATCCCATTGCCAAGATACATTTCTGCGTCCCGAAAGAGAACCCGGTCTGTGTTACATAATTCGCTGCTGTTTGGAGGGTTTTCAAGTTGCCTTATTCATGAAGCCCTAGGCCAAATTGATCAGACCCATGCGTTTTACCCCATGTCGGGTCGTTTTTTTCTTTGGTGCATCTTGCCAAGGGGTGTTAGGACTGAACATGTTTTGCCAATCAACTAATGGGCTTTTCCGTATTAAACCGCTAAAAGTGAGTCAAACTTTTAGCAGGGCAGCAGGCAGATTTCGCCCACCCCTGGTTTTCTTGAGGCTACTTGTCTTGTTTGTTTTGTTTGGGTAGAGGGAAGCCAACCGGAAAACGCGCACTTGGGCACCGGCACCCTCAAAGACACACCTCCATTCGTCGAAGAGGTTTGTAGTCGGTTCAAATGAAACCGGTTGCAGCTCGCACATGGGGGCGGGGGGTTTTGGGGGTTTTGGGGGTTTTGGGGGGAGCCCAAATGAGCTTCTTGCTATGCCCCTGAGGCCTCCAGAACCGCAGGTTACAACTCATTCAAGTGGACAGCAGCCCAGATCATCTCCCAACCATAAAGGGCGCACACGTACTTCGTTCTTTAACACGGATTTTGGGTAGACCCATTTGGTACCAGGTCATCCAACATGTTTAGGGATTTCTCCTAGTTGCGCTTGTGTTTGATTTGACGGGGCGCCCTTTGATCCTCTTCCACCTGATTGGTGTTTTCAGGATTTGAACCTAGAGCGTAGATGGGCCACCACCCCTAAGCGGTGGGGTATGTCCATGGGTATGTAAGTAGGCCCGTGGTTTATGTCCTTCGTTTTTGCTTCTTTTTTTTTTTCCATGGTTCTAAGGGTTGTTGTATCACATCCTGGGAATACACCCGCTGGGTATTGACCCTTTTCGGGGTGGCCAAAGGGCTTCTGGCTTCCTATCCTTCAAGCCGCGCGCCAAGAGGAAAGCTGGTGTCAAGTGGACCTTCTTTTTGGTTCATTTTGACGGTTGAGGGACCTTCTTAGGGGCAGTGAAAGTTGTTGTTTTTTTTTCCGCTTGGACCTTGTGTTTCAAAGATTTGAGGGACCCCGCCACCTGTTGGTTGGTATCTTTTCAGGATCGTGTTCTTTCTTTTTTGAGCGGACCTGAACAAATAATAAGCAACTTATCGATCTATCTATCTAAATCTAATCTAATCTAGTCTGATCTAATCTAATCTATCTGAGCGAGGTGATCAGCCAGACCATCTCCATCTTCTGCGCGGTGCTCTTATTCCAGGGCTGCAACGGCCTTGTGGAGGAGCAGCTCAGCTAGAGTCCGAGAAATCGAGAGAGCTGAGCTGATGCAAAACCCCGGGTTTTCTAAATAGCTTTTCTACCTGGAGTCTCCATGGCCCTTTAAACATGGGGGTCATTCGCCAACACAATGGGGTCATGAACCTTTTTTAAAGGGTATCAGTATCTAAGTCCCCTAGCAGTGCCCTTTTACCGTTTCTTGGGGGACGGTTCCCCTACTAAAAGAGAGAACGAAAAAAATGGTACCCTTATTCCTTCATGCTATTGGGTTGGATCTTTAGACTTTAACTTTTGGGGAATTGACCGATTTTCTACTAAACCCACTCAAAGTGAAGCTTTTTGCAGAGGGATCAACAGCAACCAAGTTTCCGTACTGGTCATAGAAACTAGGCGTTCGATCTCAATCCCCGGCAATTTGTTGCACACCCTGCTCTTTTTTAGCAGGGTTCGGGTGCTCTAGGAGAAGGGTTCAGGGATACCCTCCATCTAACATGGCAGACTGAGGGTCCCTTGACAACTTCAGGAACTTGATTTTTCAGGTACCCTAATGCCTTCAGGTAGTGGGAGGAAGGGTAGTTTCAACCATAAATGTGAGCTAGAATGGTAGAGCAGTCTAATACCAGGTTTGGATTATGACTCAAATGGTCGACGATGTTTCGGGGGTTGACGGCAACCAAGATGGATTGATTAGAGGGGTTTCGATACTTCTTTTTTTTGGCGGGGGATTCCCTTTTGACTTTGGGCGGTTAATCTTGAGGGGTTGTCGTTGGCTCCCATACTTTGGGGCGTTGGGGGTTGCCCCTTGGACTGTTGGCTACAAAACAAGTGTCAGAGAAAAGAGTAAACAACTATTGCCCAAAAGGGCGGAAAGTCCAGACACCTGGGAAGTGAGAGTTAGTCGCGAAGAAACGGGTCGAATCTGACACGGTTTTTTTTGTTGTACCTGGAGTCTCCATGACCCTTTAAAAATGGTTGGTCATTCGCCAAAATCATGGGGTCATGGACCCATTGTTAAAGGATCCTTAGGGAGCGGGCCGCTTTTGCCATTTTCGGGACAGGCCCCACGTGGCCTTATTTGGTAAACGCCTTACGGTTGGGAGTTCGGGGGCGGCAAAGTGCCTGGGGCCTTAGAATCTTTTTTGAGCTGTGGATCGGGCTAGCCTTATTTGGTTTGGGATTTGAACCCTTGGCTTAGAGGGTACATGGGAAACAACTCCTTTGCCACCATTTCAAAGGCACCACCGAGGTTTGTTATTCACCCAGCTAGGTCCCAATTTGGAGGGTACAATGCCCAACTCTTTTTGGGGGTAGATGATGCAAAACCGTTGTTTTGTTGCATGATAAAGAGCTTTTTTAGTCAGGGGTTGACACCAAGCCCTGAATCAAGTGGAAGCTGGGTGGAGGCTTCGGTACAGTTGTTCAGTACCTCGAGCCGAAGGACCACAATTGAAGTTCAGATATGGCTATGATTTGTAATGAGGAATCCTCCCAAATGCTCGGTGGACATAAATCCGCACCTAAATGATCCGGCTGGTGCTCAGCAGGAAATTCCGAGTGTTGGGAATGAACGGAACGGGAAGATCTTGAAGGAAACCAAAAGCTGGATGGTTTTTCTTGGGGGTCATTCCATTCTCATTCGCAGCAAGTGACGGCGGCCCTGAGCTCAGGAACCTCATCAAAGGCAGCGCGCCCGTGGTAGAGGCGGGCACATGCCCGCCTTTCCTCTTTTGGGAGGAGCAGCACTGCTTCCTTTTTCCCACACGCACCCGCACCCCACCCAACCCCACCCAACCCCACCCAACCCCACCCAACCCCACCCAACCCCACCCACACCCCACCCAACCCAACCCCTCCCAACCCTTTTGGGCTGGGGGTTTCCATGTTTCCTTGGAGGGCGGAAGGAACCCTTTTCCAATGAAAGCACGTGTTCTCTTGGCGGTTCTCAGCTGTCCGGTTTGTTAGGATTTGGTTTAGTGGTGGTTTCCATTCAAGCCACTCAAGCTAAACTTGTCGCAGGGGCCCAGGATCCTGGAGATTCGTGTGGGCCCTCCTTTTGAGGGCCCACTCCACCTTAGGGCCCGAAGTCAACAATGGGTCTGATTCTAAGAGTTTCGTCCAATAAATTGGAACTACCTGGAGTCTCCATGATCCTTTAAAAATAGGTCCATGACCCCATTATTTTGGCTAGCGACCCCATTTTGGCTAGGATCATGGAGACTCCAGGTAGAAATACCTCCATGTCACTTCACAGATAAACGTATTGAAGCCAACAAACACCCAATTTCTAGAGAAAATAAGCTCCTTTTGGTGGACCCCCTTTTTGGGTTGCTTTGCTTTTGATTATGACGCAGGTGGCCATCGACATGTTCCAGATGTTCTTTTGGCTCAGCTGCATGCAGCTGGTTTTGGCTATCACCAGCGGAGCTCTCAACGAGCGCCTAGACCTTCTCAAAGGCACAAGCTTTGCTTCAGTTTTGGGGGGGGCGGTCTTCTTCAATTTCTTTGGGGGGGGGGTCTGCTTCAGTTGTTTTGGGGGGTCTGCTTCAGTTGTTTTGGGGGGGGGGTCTTCTTCAGTTGTTTTCTCTTTTTTTTTTTGGGGGGGGGGGTCTTCTTCAGTTTTTTTGGGGGTGGTCTGCTTCAGTTTTGGGGGGGAGGTCTTATTGAGTTTTTTTTTGGGGTCTGCTTCAGTTGTTTTGGGGGGTCTTCTTCATTTTGATTTATTTTTTGGGGTGGGTGTCTTCTTCAGTTTTTTGGGGGGGTCTGCTTCAGTTTTTTTGGGGGGGTCTTCTTCAGTTTTTTGGGGGGTCTTCTTCAATTTTTCTTGGGGGGGCGGTCTTCTTCAATTTCTTTGCGGGGGGTTTGCTTCAGGTTTTGTTGGGGTCTGCTTCAGTTGTTTTGGGGGGGGGTCTTCTTCAGTTTTTTTTGGGGTGGTTTGCTTCAGTTTTGGGGGGAGGTCTTCTTGAGTTTTTTTTTTGGGGGGGTCTGCTTCAGTTGTTTTGGGGGGGTCTTCTTCATTTTTATTCTTTTTTGGGTGGGGCTTCAGTTTTTTGGCGGCTTCTGCTTCAGTTTTTTGGGGGGGTCTGCTTCAGTTTTTTTTTGTTTTTTGGGGGGGGTCGTCTTCAGTTGTTTTAGGGGGAATCTTCTTCAGTGTTTTTTTTTTTTGGGGGGGGGGGTCTGCTTCAGTTTTTTTTTTTTTTGGGGGGGTCTGCTTCAGTTTTTTTTTTTGGGGGGGGGTCTTCTTCAGTGGTTTTTTTTGTTGGGGGGGTCTTCTTCAGCTTTTTTTTGGGGGAGGGGGGGTTTGCTGGAGTATTCTTCTTTTTGCGGGGGGTCTGCTTGAGTTTTTGAGGGGTCTGCGTCAGTTTTTGGGGCATTCTTTTAGGGGTCTGCTTCATTCAGTTTTTTGGGGGTCTGCTTCAGTTTTGGGAGGGGAGGTCTGCTTCAGTTTTTGGGGGGTCTGCTTCAGTTTTTGGGGGGGGGGTTTGCTTCAGTTTTGGGGGGTTTGCTTCAGTTTTGGGGGGTTTGCTTCAGTTTTGGGGGGGGGGGTTGCCTCAGTTTTGGGGGGGTTTGCTTCAGTTTTGGGGGGTTTGCTTCAGTTTTGGGGGGTTGTGGGGGGGTCTGCTTCAGTTTTTGGGGGAGTCTGCGTCAGTTTTTTTTGGGGCTCTGCTTCAGTTTTTTGGGGGGGCTGTTTCAGTTTTTGGGGGGTCTGCATCAGTTTTTTGAGGGTCTGCCTCAGTTTTCGGGGGGGTCTGCTTCAGTTTTTTGAGGGTCTGCTTCATTTTTTTGGGGTGGTTTGCTTCAGTTTTTTTGGGGGCTCTGCTTCATTTTTTTGGGGGGGGGTCTGCTTCAGTTTTTTTGGGGGCTCTGCTTCAGTTTTGGAGGGTCTGCTTCAGTTTTTTTGGGGGAGCTGCTTGAGTTTTTGGGGGGTGTGCTTCAGTTTTTTTGGGGGTTTGTCTCAAAATGGCGGGTGATTTTTTGTTTTGTACCCAGCTGATTCGATTGCTATTGGGTCGAGAGGCCCAGAAATCTTCGTTGTTGGGTGGTTTCAAGGGAAACCAACATCACCACACCGTTCTTCCCCAAGCCGAAAGCTATGGGGTCTCTGCCCAGAAATTGGTGAGGGTTAGTGTGGGGCAGCTTGCAGGGTCCGGAGATTCGGTTCCTTTCGGGGGGTCCGGAGCTTTGACCTGGGAAGGCCACTTGAGGCCTCTGAGCTTATTTGGGGGTGGTAAAAACACATCATTTAGAGGTGTTTCTTTCCACCGCTTCTAAAAGGGGGGGAATTCGTTGAACCTGGGATGACAAAAGCACAGCCATGGGGGTTCGTGCAATTCGCCATTCTTCAGGCAGTTTCACCATCTAATTTGGGTCAGCCAATCTTTTAATAGGGGTTGAACATCAGGGTAGAGAGGGGCTTGTATCAAGGATTGGTGCATTGCTATGTCCTTTTGTTTCCTTTAAACACAGCAATGCCTGAACTCATTTAGTGAGGTAGCCCCTGGATTGGCGGCTTGGATTTAAATTTAAATCTCTCATTTTTAAAGACAATACTAGGGGGAAACTAAATTCCAGAGTCCTTTAATTTTCTTATTAACCTTACTCGAATATAGCGGGAAGGATATACCGTTAAAGTTCCCGCACCCTCTGATTGCAAGTGGGGTGTACCTTCGTAGACCATCCCACCATGATGCTTGCAAGTGGTTGCGCACGGGTTAGTTGGTCAACTTACAGTGGGTGAAAGCAGATGGCAACCTTCCCGTTTAGGATTGTTCATATTGTTTCAACCTACCCCCTACTCCAAATACTCACTTTTTCAGGATGTGCCATGAGGATGTTTTCACCATGGAAAGCCATGTTTTACCGGATGTCATGAGGATGTCTTCACCAAGGAAAACCATGTTTTTCACCAAATACCCTAAACGCAAACGGTATTTCGAGTAAGTAAGGGGGTGGGTGGAACATCCAAGCTACATAGTGATCCACGTCAGCTGGGCATTTAGCCTAGGCTTGTGGGTGTGGACACTGACATGGAAAAGGTGGAGCTGAATTTGAAGAGTTGGCAGCGCGGCTGCAAGATCGGAACTGGCATGTCCTTTTCATCAGCTAGTTTGGATAAGTAGATGGGTTCCACTGGCTTAGATGGCTTTCTTCAATTTACCAGGGAAACCCATCTATTTGTCCAACATGTCGCCTATGGGAACTGGTGTCTCCTCCAAAACTAGAGTTGGGGGAAGCGGATGTGAGCAAGATGGGAACTGGTGTGTGTTCGTTTTGCAGCGCTCAAGGGCTCGAAACGCAGATTCTGAGCTGGGAAATCCCCCTGTTCGTTCAGCTTGCGTTTTGTTTGGTCGGGAACCCATAGGAAATTACAGGGAATTACATTTAGCAAAAGACAATGTTTGGAGTCGTATGCAAAACTGCAGTGAACCAAAGAAATGACACAAGTACATAAAAAAAAGACACATAAGCAAGCACGCAAGGAAACAAGCAACACGGCAAACAAACAAGCAAACAAACAAGCCGGCAAGCAAGCAAACAAGCAAGCAAGCAGGCAAACAAGCAAGAAAGCAAGAAAGCAAGCAAGCTCCATACGGAAAACCGGGCAACTGCAAACGGCCAGCACTTACTGGACCAACGAACAAACACAAAAACATTGAGGCAATTACAGGCAGCCGTATGGGAATGATGGGAGCTTATAGGGAGCTTGTAGGGAACTATTGAATGCGACATATTGCACATAATCGGGCAACATAGGGGATTGAGGGCATTATCCGGAATTACAGTATGTACCGAATCTCAGACACATGCTCACCCCCCAACAATGGAACAGCCGACGCCAGGGCTCCTTTTGCTTCTCTGTGTGGGCGGTTTGAGCATCACCATTGGGGCATGTCAAAATCGAGTTGCTCTTTGGCGATTTGTCCAATAGGGGACACATGCTACACAGCGAACATCATGTCAAGACAAAACAACAAAAAAACACATGCACGCCCCTCTATTTCAAACAAATCATAACCCCTCCAAAAAGTCAAGAAAAATGAGAACCCCTCCAAAAAGTCAAGAGAAATGAGAACCCCTCTAAAAAGTCCAGAAACACATGAGCCCCCCCCTAAAATATGGGTTTCTCGCCCAGTTGAAAAGACAAGTTCAGTCCGCCGCGCGCCGGGTGAGGTCGGTGCTCTTCAGCCACGTGGCGGGCTTCGCCACCATCAACGCCTATGGCTCGCTGCAGCAGCTGCTGGGCTTGCAGCTGGGGGAGTGGGGTACCATAGGCACCTAGAGTCAATTTTGCAGCCAGACCCTAAAAAAACCAGTACCCTAAAAGAAGGAGGTTGCAAAATAGACCCTAAGTGTCCACCATCCGGGGGGGTGGGGCGGGGGAGGGGGTGGGGGGGGTGGGAGGGGCCTGGTTTCATTTGGGTTTTTCAAGGGGAACCAAAAGGAAACCCACCGAATCTGTTCGCTTCTGCGTTTCGGAGAATATCTTTACAGTGTGCCCCTGGTTGTAAAGGGAATCGATGTTCACGACTGGAAGTATGTGTTTGTTTGTTTGTTCCAGGGGACTCAAGCAAATGGAGTTTTGGCGGGTCCCCTACAAAAGAGGAAGACAGGACAAAAACCAAAAGCAAGATACCTGGAGTCGACCCCAAAACCCGCTTGGTCAGACTCGACTGCAAATCCCATGGCCTGGGCCAAGCCTGACAAAAGGAACCCATGGAGCGAAAGGCAGGATGGACTTTTCAGGGCTCCCCATGTTTCCCCTTTTTAGTAGATTCAAGCATCACCTTGGCCCCTTCTACGTGTTTGAGGGTAAAATATAGGGAGCCCTGATTTTTGGTGTTTTGGTAGATTCAAGCATCACCTTGGCCCCTTCAAAGTGAGGTTCCTGTAAGTGGGGGACAGTGGGATGGTTCCGTTCTTCCTTCCGAAATCGACGGACGGACCTTCCGGGCTGAGATTTGCATCCCGGGGATCTGTGTCACAAGTTCCATTTGCACTGCCCATTTTATGGCGAGCTCACCTGGTGGTGCAGCGAGCTCTCCATGACAAAGGCTCTTAACTTGGGGATCGGGATTTTGGAAATCTGATTTTGGAACTAGAGCAACATTTGCAGATTTGCTTAAGAAGTGTCTTGTTTTAACAAAGAAACAGCCCTGTTGGGTTTAAAGGGAGCGGAGGACGTCTGGACATACTGTGGATGGACGAAATCCGTTCACACCACCAAAGAAACCCCAGAATGTTTCGATTCACCTGTAAATGCCAACAAACATGGTTTCATTTCGCGGTGCGAACGGACTTCGCAATCATTCACAGTATGTGTTATTTAAGGGCTGCCGCCCAGTGCCGCCGACCCCTTCAATTAAATGAACGAATTCTTGATTCTCCGGTGCGGCGTTCGCGAGCGAGAATCGGGAATGCGCCAATCCATTTTTTCCTGTGGGGGGGGGGACCTTTTCTTCTGGATGGGCACATTCTTGATTCTCCGGTGCGGCGTTCGCGAGCGAGAATCGGGAATGCGCCAATCTACTTTTGTTTTTTTCTCGGGGGGGGGGGAGACCCCCTCAGTTGGATGGGCGCATTCTTGATTCTCCGGTGCGGCGTTCGCGAGCGAGAATCGGGAATGCGCCAATCCATTTTTTTTTCCTGTGGGGGGGGGGACCCTTTCAGCTGGATGGGCGCATTCTTGATTCTCCGGTGCGGCGTTCGCGAGCGAGAATCGGGAATGCGCCAATCCACTTCTTTGTTTTTTCTTGGGGGGGGGGAGACCCCCTCAGTTGGATGGCGCCAATCCACTTTTTTTTCTGTGGGGGGGGGGGGGAGACCCCTTCAGCTGGATGGGCGCATTCTTGATTCTCCGGTGCGGCGTTCGCGAGCGAGAATCGGGAATGCGCCAATCCACTTCTTTTTTTTTTCTTGGGGGGGGGGGAGACCCCCTCAGTTGGATGGGCGCATTCTTGATTCTCCGGTGCGGCGTTCGCGAGCGAGAATCGGGAATGCGCCAATCCACTTCTTTTTTCTCTGTGGGGGGGGGGTGTGTTGTTTTCGCACAGATTGATCTCCCGCAACATTTGGCTCAAGGCCCCTTTTGCATAATCACGACCATTCGAGCGTGAGGACAAAAGAGCCATTGCAGGCCGCTTACAGGATTATCCATCAGGCAATCCACCAGGGACAATCCATCCTCCAATCATCCATTGTAGGCATACTGGACTCTCTCCGGAATAGATTCAGGGACCAACAACGACCTCAACTACCACAGGGTTCCAGTTCCCTCCGGGGATAGGCACCTGGGGCAGTGGGCCTCAATTTGTGGTAGCGGAGCGGGTTTTCCGCAGAGACCCAAGGGAAGATGTCATCAGATGGAGAAGGTTTCATGGAAGCCTACACAAGTTCGGCAAAGCCGAGCTACACGGAGGAAACACTTAATTTATCGATGACCGCCAAGCAGCCGCCATCGTACGACGGAAAAGTCAGCTGGTTCAGGTATGAAGAACTCGTGGACGACTGGGTGACAATCACCACAGTAGAAGCAGCCAAGCGAGGTCCATTGCTTAAGAGCAGACTCACTGGAGATGCTTACATGTACAAGGCCGTCCTCCAAAATGACCTTTTGCAAGATCCTGATGAAGGAGTCAACTATTTCAAGAACACGCTGAAGAAGTACTTTTTGAAAGGTGCGATCAACGTGTATCTGTACAGACTCCTCAGTTTCTTCAACCACAGAAGGCAGAACCAAGAGTTCCTCATTTTTACCTCAAAATTCGAGATCCTTGTCATGAGATTGAAGGCAGCATGGATGGACTTGATGCCAATCTTTACGGCACAGTCTCCATCATTCCGACAGTCCGTACAGGACGCAAACGCGAGAACAATTGCTCGACATCAGCAAGCAGCCGGTGCTCGAGCACCGCCTCCAGCCCTGCTAAATGAGGACGATCCTACAGTCCTCAGACAATATATCCAAGGAATGCAGGACAGACAGCGGGACGCATTTCCCTTCGGGGATAATCTCTTTGCACAGTTTTTCATTATACCAAGTGAGTTGTCAGATCAACAAAGAGAACGACTCACAAGTGCAATGTCATTTAGGAACATCTCACTCGAGAATTATTCCTATGAGATGCTGAAGACACGCTACCATGAACTCTTCATCACTACGAGGACATCGATCCAAGATCCATCCATCCGACCTCAAGGAGGCAGCCGAAGGAACACATTCTTCATCATCGAACAAGGTGAATACGAAGGAGAAGAAGGCTTCTGGGTTGAGGATGAAGAAGGACTTGAAGGATTCATGTCAAACAACGATGAAGAGACGTTCTGGGTCCTCGAGGAGAACGATGCACGTATCGCGGAAAACAACAACTCCAAAACCTGCAGTACCTCATCCAGCAGAGAACATGTTCGTCGAGGACCTCACATCTATTCCTGAACAAGCACATTGGAACTGTGTACGTAAGGGAAAGATCCACGTTCTCGAGATCTTTGCAGGAAGTGCCAGATTCAGTCAATGCTGTGCACTGTCAGGTCTTAAGGTTGGGACTCCCGTGGACATCCGCGCAGGATTCGATGTAATGACATCCAAGGGACGACACATGGTCATGGAGATCATCAGGGAACAAGCACCTGATGTCATCCTTATGGCACCAGTCTGCGGACCATGGTCAAATATGCAGAACATCCAGCAAGACCAGCAAAAGGTGGGGGAAAAGCGGAAACGCTACCTTCCCATGGTTGAATTTGTGGCATCCATTGCGCGTTGCCAGTTGAAGCACAGAAGATACTTCATTATCGAAAATCCTCAGACATGCAGGATATGGTATCTGAAATGCATGCAGCAATTGTTTTCAGACCCATCCGTGACCTGGGGAGATTTCCATTTCTGTGCATACGGACTAAAAGATCCTGAATCCGGGCTCAGAAGTCTCAAGCCCACGAGCTTGATGCACTGTTTACCTTCCGAGGTTATGAGACCGATCTTCAGAAGGTGTAAAAACTTTTCCAGCTCAGAACACCAACCCCTAGAGGGAAACGCTGGTTCCTTCGGAAGCAGAACCAAACTGGCACAGGTGTATCCTTACCAGTTCTGTCAGGATCTTGCGCACATCATCTTACGACACTTGCAGGTGAAACCGCTTGACAACGAGGTGTACCTCTTGGAGGACCTTTTTGAACCATTCACCATCAAGCAGGTTGATATCCTGAGAAAGGAGATGGAAGCCATTGACAAGGAGTTCAACATGACCAGCAGCAGTCTTGCAGTCAGAATCCAAGACCTGCCGTTCAACAAGGATGTTCAACCATTAGTCCTCCGGACGATGCAATCATATCCTTCTGGCAGCCTGATCAGCTGAATAGAATTTGGGTCTTGCCTGCATCAAAATGCAATTGGGAGAAGTATGATCCGAAGACGTGGCATGCTGTGATGTTTTCATCCGTTCATGAGTCGTTCACCGATGCGCCGGCCATCAGGCCGATGCCCATCGAGACGGATCCATGGGATCCCACGGATGCGCCTCAGCAACCTGACACACAGCCACCACCTGATCAACCGGACCATCCCATGCCTGATCCAAGACCTCCAACACCTCCGGACGAGAGCATGTCAGATCCTCCTCCGGATCCTCCACATCAGCCTGATCATCCCATGCCGCCAGCGCCACGCAGTGTGTTGCCAGACAGTCCAGTGGATCCTCCACTACCGCCACACGACTTTGCCGTCACAGTCGCAATCATCTCAGCCAATTCTTCCGACTGTCGTGGTACCTTCACCACCTGCGATTCTTACAAATCCCGAAGCAGAGGAACAAGATGAAGATCTTGAACTGCCGACACTTGTGCAAGAAGAAACAACCGGCAGTCCGTCAAAGAAGCAGAAGACTGGGAAGAAGAAGAAGAAGAAGCCAGATGACAATGATGAGTCACCTGAGCATTCTCCCAGACATGATCCTGCATCTTCATCCAATTATAATCCGAACAATCCAGCCAATTTGCCGGTCAATATGAAAGTGAGGAAGAGCTGATTCCTCATGTTCCAACCTCATCCGGCACTGGAAGTTCAGAAAGAACCATGAGATACACTGACCAGGAAGATGGAGATGCAGAAGACTCTCAGAGGACCAGATCCTACGATGATCACCAAGCTGATCTCGTTCTAGATGAAGCGCATTGGTCACTCATGACAGCCGAAGAGAAGATCTGTGCGAACACTGGATCCTTTACGGTTCCGAGAGA